GGCGGAGGAGGCGAGGCGAGGCGGCGGCGGCGGGGGAGGCGAGCGGCGGCAGGAGCTCGCGCTGCTCGAGACGAGGCGAGGCGGCGGCGGGAGCTCGCGCTGCTCGAGGCGAGGCGGTGGCGGCGGCGGAGGAGGCGAGCGGTGGCGGGGTGTGGCGGAGTAGGCGAGCGCGGCGGCAGAGGAGACGAGCGCGGCAGGAGGCGACGCGGTTTGACGCGGTTAGGCCCACGTAGCGTCGGCGAACTGCTCGGTCCGGTGGCGGCACGGAGGCAGCCATGGAGGCCATGCCGCTGCGCAGTCGACGTGGCGGCGGCGAGTCAGTCTTGGCCATGTGCGCGGAGCCGCACGTCAGCGAGGCCTACGACGGAGCCGAGCGGCGGCGTCGACAGCGGAGAGGCACGCGCGGGTGATCACCTTGTCCGCGAGGCTGTCGCGGAGGCGCGCGTGGCAGTCGCAGGGCGGGCCATGCCGGCCGCGGAGGCACGAGCACCCCCGGAGATGGCGAAGCCACCGTGGTCGGCGGAGGCATGTGGGGCCGCGGTGGACCTGTGCGAGGGCTTCGCCCACGTCGAGTGGAGGAGGCCGAACGGCGGAGGTCGTGCGGCGGGGGGCGCGGCCGGCGGAGGACCCCGATGATGCCCGCGGCGTGGAGACCCGGGAGCCCCGGCTCCGCTGCGGAGACCACGGAGGTCACGCGGCCGCGGACGCATGCATGCTGCTCTTGCCGTTGCAAATAGTACCATAGCATGCTGCCTCCTCCGGGAGAAGAGAGAGAGAGAGCCCCACCGCTCGCCTTGCCGCCGCGCTCGCCTCTCTGCCACCCCACCTCCTCCGCCGCCGCCGCCTCGCCTTGCCTCGCCGCTGAACGTGCTGATGAAGCCTAGAGGGGGGTGAATAGTCTGTCCCTGAAAACTTAAAAACAAATCGCAGCGGTAAAATTCAAATAGACCCGAAACTTCCTGGTAAGGAACTCCGGAATTTCCGGCCTGATAGGCCCGGAACTTCCGGTGTTCTTAGGACAGGAACTTTCGGGTTACCGAACAGAGATGGAATTCAAATTTCGAATCAAGAGACTAAGCCAATGTTCACAAGATGATGCACAGGTATTCTAAGCAGGGGATAGATCACAGCAACATCCACAGAAACAACACAACAAGAGACAAGAGCGATTTTTTCCCGAAGTTCGGATCTTGCGATCCTACTCTCCGTTGAGGAGCTGCAAAGAGCTGGGTCTCGATTAACCCCTTGCCTCACTTGTGCAAAAACCCCAGAGGAAATCCACAGCCTTCAACCCTAAACACTCCTAAGCAAATTTCTAGAATTGAGTGACCACCAAGATCCAACTCAACCTCCTTCTAGAAATCCGCCACAAGTGTAGGTTGCTCTACTTGGAAAACCTCTAGAATCTCAGCACAAGAACTTCATTAACTTACCTCGTTCCCTTTCGGAGGAGAGGAAATCCTTCACAAATTTATCCGGGACATCCACAATATGCAACGGATTCTCGCGGGCGACACCTAACCGTCTAGGAGATCATCTCCAAGAGTAATAAGCACAGAGATGACAGCCCACGAGATATTCCAAGTGCTCACCTAAGTTCCTAGTCTTCACACATCTCCAAATCTTCCTCTCTCCCTCTCAATCTCTCTTTCTCACAAGAATTAGGCTCTAGATTGAGTGGAGAAGGCAAAAAACACTTGGGAGAGGCTAGCAACAGCTCTAGGAATGAAAAGTGAAAGTGGAATTGCCAAGAAAAGAGTTGGAAACGAGCTATATATGTATAACGGTTAGGTGACGTCATCTAGCCGTTACTCAATTTTGAACTGGAAACTAGATAGGAAGTTCCGGACCTGGAAGACAGGAACTTCCGGATAACACTTAGGAAAATTTCTTTCATCAGATCGAAACTTCTGGACCTGGAAGATAGGAAGTTCCGGACCTGCATTTTTGGACAGATGGAGTATTTGCAAAAATAACTCCTAGGGAAACTTTGACACTTCGTTCACACTAAGAGCACTTGACATATCTCAGAGCATCACCTGGAACCCCTCTTAATACTACGGTTTTTCCTAAAAACTCGATTGCAATAAATAAACTATCCTATGCACTTCTCGAGTTCCGGTCCGCTTTGATTTTATACTTTTGGGGGGTCTCTAAGCATCCATCTTCCACGCCTTGGACTAATGCACCTGAAAGTAGCTCAATAAACTCATTAGTCCCTTAACCACATTTGTCATTAATAACCAAAACCCACTAGGGGGATTAATGCACTTTCAGCCGCTGCCTCCTCTGCCCGCGCTCGCTGCCTCCGCCGTCACCGGGAGAAGAGAGACAGAGAGAGTGTGTGAGAGATAGAAGAGAGTATGACATGTGGGTTTCACATTTTTTATAAAATAGGATGCTGACCGGACTACCACGTGTACGCCACGTAGACCAAAACCACCACGGATTCGGTCGGGGGGAGGGGTAATTCGTCCGGTTTGCATAGTTGGGAGTGAAGAATGTTCGGTTTTATGGTTCTGAGGGTAATTCGGACGACTATGATAGTTCGGGGGAAGATAATTCGTACTTTTTAGTCAGGAGCTTGACACTTTTGTTTAGTGCTCAAACAATATTGCTCATGGAGAGCTTAGCCATGGACAACAAAGCAGCCATCCTCCATGGCCGTCCAGTCATTTTCTCTGAATCTTTCATCTTTAAAAATACGAGAACATTTCTCCGATTTTCGCCCCGCCTTTCGGCATTTTGCGCACGACCGAATATCGCCACAAGATAACTTGGCTAGAATTGATGGAAATTGACAGCAAAGTTTGTACTGTTCCTGGTTAAAAATGATGTGATCCCTGCTCCAAGATGTTGCAGATTCAGAGAAGAGGTGCGAGTTGCAAACTCCAGTTTCACACATGTTCGTTTTCAGGAGGTTGGGCAGGCGTGAGAGGGGGACATCGGCACATTTTTTTGGGTCTCAGATCATGCTTGTTAACAACGACATCGCAGTGAGATACGACGTGTTAAGCATATGGACCAACAGTGGTTGAGGATTTCGTGTATCTTTGGGTGGTGAAAAAAGAAACTGAAAATTAGTTCTCGGTCATATTCATGAGTATTTGTGGTCGATGAGAACTACTCCCTCCGTCCTAAAATATAACAACCTTTAGCACTTAGGATTTGTCTCAAAATATAATAACTTTTCCACCAACATTCTCTTCCAACCAATCACAAACCCTGCACCATTCACTTTTCTCACATACCTCTACTTCTCAACCAATCACAATATCTCTCTGTTTAAATAAACCTACTTTCTTAATAACCGTATCAAATTTTAAAACTTTTTATCTTATGGGACAGAGGTAGTAATACTTTGGGAAGAACCATATATATATCTCATTGAAAGGGACTAGATAGCTACTTCCTCCATTTTATATTATAAATTGCTTTGACTTTTTTTCTAGTCAGAATTTTCAATTAAGTTTATAGAAAAGTATAATAGCATTAACAACATAAAGTAAATATATTATCAAAATATATTTAAATTTGGATTTAATAAAACTGATTATTTGATGTTATGGATGCTGCTAATTTTTTTTTATAAATTTGGTGTAACTTAAAAAAAATAACTAGAAAAAAGAAATAGAACTACTTATAATATAAAACGGATGAAACGGATGAAGTTATTGTTTGCTACCTAAGAAACGGTTATCGATCACTAGTTCACTACCAATCTATAACATTATTGTTCATTACCCACAGTTGGGAGCTCCATACAATATTTGGTTTTTGTTGCCGGCAGCGAAGCACACCACAAACCTCTGGGTGTGAGTTGTTACGATCATTTGCTCGATCTGCTGCAATGTTGCGTAGGAGTTGCTGCAAGTGATCTGATGATCACTATGTTGTATGAGTAGCAAATTATTGTTGCATCACTCTATAGTCTCCAGATGAGTAGCAAATTATCGTCTCCAGAGATGTTAAACCGTTGAAATGCCAGAGAATAAATATATATGGTATACCTAAACAGTGAGAAATTTGATCGATCGTAAGATCAAATCCCCGCCAACTGCAGACACACTATCCTACCACAATGCAAGCTGGAAAAGGAACATGATCCAATGCTGAATCCAAATTTGTCAAAACCATCTCAAGTTGAAATTAATAATCACAAAAACTCCCCTGAAATGAATTTGATTATACGGTATAAATTGAGGAAAAATAGAAATTAATTCATGACGCACGCTTTTGTTCATTATCTGCTTCAAAAATCCTCACGAGTATGACCTGTGCAGCCAACATTACAAACTTAAAAATAGGTGTAATCTGAGTTCATAACGCATTAGATACCAATGTCTCATGGTCGTAGCTAGCTAGAACAGTTCGATGATAATTAATTATCAATACATGCCAAATCATCCTTCAAGTAACAATGAATTAAACTCTTCTGTTTGATGAGAGAAATTAAATACAAATGGCTGATGTCATAAGGTGCTATAAAGTATAAACAGAGAAATTAGTCTGACATACTCCCTCCGTCCCATAATATAAGGATTTTGAGTTTTTATTTGTAACGTTTGACCACTCGTCTTATTCAATTTTTTTTTGCAAATATAAAAAACGAAAAGTTGTGCTTAAGTCACAAATAAAATAAATAATAATTTAAAAAAATTTTAAATACGACGAGTGGCCAAACGTTGCAAGCGAAAACTCAAAATCCCTTATATTATGGGACGGAGGGAGTACGAGATTATTGATATACTGTTTATAGTCATGGACTTCAAACCCAATTCTGCTACCTGATGTGTGATTAGATATCGACGGTATCAATAAGACGTTAGTGCAATATATATACTCCCTCCATTCCAAAATATTTATCGCCATTAACTTTTTTAAAAAATATTTAACCGTTCGTCTTATTAAAAAAAATTAAGTAATTATTAATTCTTTTCCTATCATTTGATTTATTGTTGAATATACTTTTATGTATACATATGGTTTTACACATTTAAAAAAAATTTGAATAAGACGAACGGTCAAATATGTTTAAAAAAGTCAACGGCGTTAAACATTTAGAAAATGAGGGAGTATATACATAGTATAATGAAGCCATTTCTCCATCATGGGCTATCTCAACCAAAGACTGGCACAATAGCAGAAGGCAAAAATACCTGAGACACATGCAAACGCCTTGTATGGTCTAAGCTGAGCGAACCTGCAGCAGATTATTTAAATTTAAAGAAAACTAATTAGGATAACCAGAAAAAATAAAATGCGCACACATTCACAAAAGTTAGTTGCTTGGTTACCTTGCATCAGCCTCATCACTTTCTTTTCTCAAAGTTTCCATCTTGTCAAGGAGGTTCTCGATATTATCCAATTTCTTGCTGACATAAGAATAAACCAGAAACTCATTGTTCTCCATGTCACCAAGTTCCGATGCAGGATCTGAGGAAGAACTCTGGATACAGATAAAGAAAAAAAAAGTGAATTATAACTTAGGCTAGGTATTATTATCAAAGTTTCATTTTCGACTGGGATACCAATATTTTCACTTTAGACTAAGAAACATAGCCTTTGTTCTAGTTTAGACCCCCCCTCCACACACACACACAACAATCTCTCAATCTCTGTCTTGTTCGCTCCTAGCTCCTCACCACCGCACTATCCGGGCCGTTTTTTCTCTTCCTGTGATGTAGATACGATGACAACTCGGTGAGCTCCATCTGTGCAGAACCTATCAGGGTTTTAAATCTCCGTCCATAGCTACCGTTATCATCTTGACAAGGGTTCTAGCTATTTGCTTACATGTACAATTTAGTCCGCTGTAACTGTTTTGAGAAGATCAACCGCTAAATATTTTAGTCTGCTAACTTCAATATAAACAAGTGAGGCACACGTATAGCCTCATCAGTCATCATCAGACCGATCGCTGCCTCCTGAACTGCAGCTAATTGCTTCCTCTTCCTTCACATGTGCTGTTGCTCTTCACACCAGCAACAACACCAGTGCTTCACGCCGCCTTATAGCAGCAGGAGCAGCAGGTTCACATTGCCGGCTATGGTTTCGATGGTGAGAAGGGTGTACCATTGTGCAAACACAAGGAAAGAAACTCTAGTACAAAGTGAAAACAGTGACCACTCATGTCCAAAGTGAAACCTTGTAATTAATCCTAGCCCGATATGCAGTATTTACTTAAAAAAAAGTTCCTAGCTAAACTAATAATCTCAAAACAGATACTCCATCCGTTTTACAATATAAGTCATTCTAGCATTTTACACGTTCATATTTAATGAATCTAGACATAAAAATTACAAATCTCTACTATTATAAAGTTTGAAGTTGTTTTTGCCGGTATTTTGGTACGTCATCTGTGTATCAGTCTGTTTTTAAGTTCGTTTGCTTTTGGAAATACATATCCGTATTTGAGTCGGTTCTTAAGATCGTTCACTTTTGGTAATATAGAAGGAATTATAAGAAATCTGTTTAAAAAAACGCGCATGCTAACTTGAGACGATTGGACTCCTAACTGCAGCTTATGATTTTCCAACAAATATATACATCCAAGCGAACTCCCTTAACTAAACCATATAACAATAATAAATATTAAAATAAACTTCATCCGTTGTAACGTATGGACATCTTTTTTAGTATACAATAAAAAGAAGATGAGAAAACCCCCTCTTTTAATTATTTTCTTCTGCTCTTCTCCCTCCCCGGCCTCAGCCAGATAATTTCACCGATTAGATTAAATCAATAGAACACCCCAGGAGAGAGAGGAGGGAGAAGGAATTGCAGCAAGAGTGAGTAGAAACCCAGGGAGGAAGAGAGGATCGGAGCAGGGAGATTCCAGGAAGAGGTCGTTTACCGGCGCGGTGGCCGCGGCCTTGTGGGTGGAGCCATCGTCGCAGCTGGCGCTAGCTGGAGAGGCGACGCGGGTTCTCCTCCATGGCCGACAGGGCGGGGACCACGGCTGCGCGGCGGATCAGCAACCGCTGCTCCCCCGCGAGCACGGACCGCCGGAGCGCGCCGCCGGCTGACCGGAGGATCGTCGAAGCCATCGTCCTCGTTCTCTCTCTCTCTGCTCGAACCCTAGGTTAGGTTTGCCTTCCTTTTTTTTTCCTTTGAAGTTGTCTGTCCGGTCGGCTCAAGTTGTCTATTCTACTCAAATTTAAAATAGTACTAGGTCAAACATTTTTTATTTTGACTATTAATAGAAAAAAATCAATCATATCAAATCAATGTTACTAGATTTATCATTAACAAAACTAATATCATAATATACAACTCTTTTATTTAGATCATTTTACTTTTATAGATGCATCTCGAAAACTGTGTTAAAGTCTAAAAATACAGTGTATTTTAAGACGGAGGGACTGGAGGGAGTAAATCTAATCTAAATCTAAACTTCTTAAAAAAATTAAGTAATTTTTCCATTGTCTTCTCTATTTTTGGTCCGTCACCGAGAGTCTATACATCATCTCGCAATCTGATATCATCTCGCAATCTGATTCTGTTAGTGATTGAGAGAAGCCATGGCATATCTCGTTCGTGTGTATCGCTACCTTTGTCCGTCGGTCTCGCAACAACTGATGCTTCACGCACTCAATGCATCGTGCAAGTTTTTTCAACACGAAATTACATCAGATTTTGTTCGTGCGACGTGGAGGGTACCTGAGCGGCGGGGAGCACATGCCCAGGTAATAGAAAACACGGTTTAGTGGCGCGAATAGGGTTGCACTTCGGCCGTGGCGGCATGATCCGGATGCTCGATCGTCGCCGTTGTGAGTTTTTCACCGTGGCTACTGCTTAGGATCTTGATTAGGACGAGCTCCAAGTCTACATGAGCGGACAGACCTGCACCCTTGCACTGCATAAGTGCATTGCCCTTCGCGGGTGAAACAATTCTAGACAATACCACTATGTGTTAATTAATTAGATCGCATCAGATTTTGTTCGTGTGGCATGGAGAGTACCTGATCGAGCGGTGGGGAGCACATGCCCAGGTAACAGAAAACACGGTTCGGTGACACGAATAGAGTTGCACTTCGGCCGTGGCGGCACGATCCGGATGCTCGATCGTCGCCGTTGTCAGTTTTTCACCGTGGCTACTGCTTAGGATCGGATCTTCATCAGGACAAGCTCTAAGTCTACATGAGCGGACAAACATGCACCCCTGTACTGTATAACTGCATTGCCCTTCGCAGGTGAAACGGTTTCAGACAATAATTATGTGTTGATTAATTAGATGGTATTGTTAGTTCATTCTTAAGCTGCCTTAGAAGTCTTGTTACAATTGGAATTCTAGTAGGATATTTTTATTATTAATGGAAGTGCTTCTGTTAGTTATTCAAGTAGCTAGTTTTGTAGCTCAAATCTAAAGCGTGGCATAATAAGCATTTATTTGCTTGCTTTGGCTAGGTGACAGGAAACAGTTCGATCTATAGCTACGGTAAAATTTACTCTTGAAATGAGCCCATCTTTATTCTCATCCTTTCGGTAATACTTATGCTTAATTATTAGTTAAAATTTGAATTTTTAACCCAAAATTTGAAGTTGATTTTAGGGTTTTTTTTTTTCATAGTAGTTTGTTTTTCAGCCTTTGATTTTAAATCGTTAATAACACGTATATAAAATTTTTATTCACAACTTATTTTTCATTTGAAAATATGCCATTTGGTTTATTCCTTGATTAAGCCAAACGTAGAGCTGATTGGTATATGACACCAGGTAGAAGTATGCTGTTTCATAGCCCCAACTCCCAAGTCCTAACCAAGGATTGGCTAAGATATCAAATACTCCTACCATTTAGCTGAATATTTATGTAATTTTTGAAAACAAAAATATATTTGTATATTTTTTAAAAAAAATTATAAATGGAAAAATTCCTTCAACGATGCGTGTTCGGTGTTCCACGCGGTAGATGGAGGCCCGCAGCTCCACGGGCTCCCCCACCTGGGCCTTCAGCTCGTTGATGGGCAATGTGCCCTTTGCTCCTGGCCAGCCCAAGATGAAAGGCCACCCCCACCGGATCGGTTAACTTGATAAGAAAAAAACCGCATACAAGGCATCCCTGGATGTCAAAACCAATACAAATGTAGTCTTATATCGGTTTAGACGGCATGTTTTGGCTGACATAGGACCAATATAACTTACGAGCATTACAATTCTCTACCTCTATCTCTACTATTATAAAAACTGAAGACGTTTTTGCTAATTGTTTGGTACGTTGTTCAATTCGAGTATAAATACGCCGTCCGACTACAAGTCCGTATCTGATTCAATCACATATATTTTCATCCATCACCGTGCGAGCCTCTGCTACGTAAACTGAGTAAACCGAGCGTCGCATCTTTTTGAATCTTTGTACGTCTTGTGTCAGTGCTGTCTACTCAACTGAGCCCTTCTTGTTTAGCCCAATGGCCAGTTGTCCTTGACCCTGTTTAGATGGGACTAAAATCACATCAGATATTTGGACATTAATTATAAATATTAAACGTAAACTATTAATAAAACTCATCCATAATCTTAAACTAATTCGCGAGACGAATCTATTGAGCCTAATTAATCCATTATTAGCCTATGTGATGCTACAGTAAACATTCTCTAATTATAGATTAATTAGGCTTAAAAAATTTGTCTCGCAAATTAGCTTTCACTTATGTAATTAGTTTTGTAAATAGTCTATATTTAATACTCTAAATTAGTGTCTAAATACAGAGACTAAAGTTAAGTCCATGTATCCAAACACCACCTTAGTAGATGGGTTGTACGTACACGAGTTAAACTTGGGCACAGTTGAGATGAAACTGATTCTCAAATATATTTTGATCCTATACGGAATTATATGCTATTCCTGTATCAATCAATGGACAAGTTGACTTTATGAAAAAAAAATCTAAAAATGTTTCACAGTGGATATGAGAACATAATTATTTTTCAAACATTGTTTTTAGATAACAGATAGAAACCATGCCTCTATATTTATTGGTGTCACCATTTACTATGAAGTGATTTCCACGATTGAGATGAAGCGAGCAATACAACTGGGACAAGACATAGATCAAATTGATTCTCAAATATATTTGGATCCTGTACAAATTTACCTGGTGTTCATTCTGAGAAAATTACTTATGTGCCCCCCAAGTTTATTGATCAACCTATCCCGTTATACACTACACTATGACACTAGATTGCCAACAGACGTCCGTCGATAAAAATAAACAATTAATAAACTATTTGTTGGTAAAGGCTTTTTGACAAATTATATGTTGGCAATACTATGTAATAAGAACCATACCACGATTTAACTATCAAAATCTTTTTTAATTAATGTAAACAATTTTTAGACTTCCAAAACAAACATCATGAGTTTTAAAGCTATCTTTTATAATGCAACATTGTACATAGATCAAGTTGGTAAAAACTACAATTTATGAACAATTTCATCCATTATGACACATGGACATTTTGCTAGTAGAAATAAAAAATAAAAACGGTGGGGTCCATACAAAAGAGAAAATGAAGAAAAAAACCATGGCCCACATACCATACATTCCTTTTTGTTTTCCCTTTCTTTCAGTGACAAGAAAGAAAAGAGCGGCAGCAACATGGAAGCTCTGCCCGTGGCCTTGTTGCCCCGCGAGCGGCCTGTTCGACCAAATGCCCCGCCGGCGATGGAACACGCTCTGTTCTGCTGATGCGGCCCTGGCCACCAAGCTCGTCGCTCTGCTCGGCAGACTCTCCTCTCCAGTCTCCGCTGTCGACAAGGCGCCTGATCCATCCAGCGCTCCCCTCATCTCGATCGGTCGCCTCGCCGACATCGATGCTGCAACGCCTAATGTGATATACCACGAGCTCCTTTTCAAAATGTATGACACCGTTAACTTTTTACATAACGTTTGACCATATCCATATCTATATATACAACTCTGTCAACGGTCGTCCACTCAGCTCAGATTAAAAGCCTGGACGGCGACGGCGACGGCGACGAGGAAGACCTGTCACGGCGTCGGAGCGGCGCCGCAAACTCTGAAGATCGACTTCACCGTCCGTGATGAAAAGGGCGGTGTGAATGAGCAGATACGCCGCAAAGATGCCACAAGATCAAGATGCATGATGGCGATAAACAGCACTGGAACTAATTAAGCAGTAAGTTAATTGACTAATTAAGTAGTTTCTTTATCCAGATGACAGCACCATCATACATACATATCAACTATCAAAGGCACACTACGTACACAGCAAACATTTCTAGCTCTGTTTTTTTTTTCCCCTTTTTAACCTTCTGTTCTCACTAGCTAAGCTACTAGGTACTTACAAACAAAACTTGATTACCTACTAGATGAGGATGGTGATGATCGACATCGACTGGCCTAATAATTCAGAAGTTAGGAATTTGTAGGGGAGAGATAGGAAGCCATGTTAGGAGCGGCTTCTCATGTTCTAAGCCCCTGCAATTCCTCTTGCTGAAAAGCCAAACAAAGAAGAAAGAAAAAAAAAAAGAAGAAGAGAGAATAACATTTTGGCCCCATTTTGTCATCCGATGATCTCGTCAGGCAAGGCCACAAACCTCGTCCGCTTCTGCAATCAAAAAGAGAAAAAACCTGTCAAAATTTGCACAATTTCATTTCACGCTTTCAGCTAAAACTTAACTACTAGTACTAGCATAATCAAAGCATGAAGCGTAGGATACTGAAAAAGGTATCACCGAATTTGGTAAAGCAACATGTACATGAGAAAGGGATCGATGGATCCGGTTTTTCGATTGGTAGCCATTGACAAAAGAGAAAACGAGTCCCTTTGAATTGCATCGAGAATCCCTTTCTTCAATTGATCTTCAACGTTAAGCAAAACTAATTAAGCCGTGCCTCATGATTAATTGTCCGGACTACTAACTACTTTGGGTAACGACTTTCTACGTAATGAAGTAAATGCTTTATATTGGAACGGTTGTCCTAAGTGCACTTATATTGAAACGAAGAAAGTATATTACAAACTTAAAAACTACCATAAAATATGTATCTACATTATTGTACGTAAAACTTTTATTCATGATGAATCCCATACGTCTATTTTAATCTTATGATCGATACTCCCTCCATCCTATGATATAAGGGATTATTCTTTTTTAGGTAAGTTTAAGGATAGCAAGAAAATACTAGAATGTCTCTATTAAATGATACTCCCTCCATAAAAAAAAAAGGCAACCTAAGCTCCTAGTACAACGAATCTGAGCAACCCTTCTAGGTTGCCTTTTTTTTTGGGACGAATGGAGTATTTACTTATATGTGAGTGGGTAGTTAAGGGTTAAAATATGTAAAAATTTGAATAGGAATTGATGGATGTGTTAAGTAGCACACCAAAATCATTTATATTGTGGGACAAATAGAATGAACAAAATCCCTTATAGAACGAAGGAGCAGGGGCAGATCTACAGCGTAAAGGCCAGTATCAGGCGACACCGACGACTTTCGACAAAACTTATAGCGAAACTACTTATCTATATATTATAACACCATGATCAAAGTATAATTAGCATATTATGACAATTATAAACATATTATGACATCAACAAATCGATTTTCTGACTCCACCTCTACAAGGGAGTACTCCCTCCGTTTCGAAATGTTTAACGCCGTTGACTTTTTAGCACATGTTTGACCGTTCGTCTTATTCAAAAAATTTAAGTAATTATTAATTCTTTTTCTATCATTTGATTCATTGTTAAATATATTTTTATGTAGGCATATAATTTTACATATTTCACAAAAGTTTTTGAATAAGACGAACGGTCAAACATGTGCTAAAAAGTCAATGGTGTCAAACATTTCGAAACGGAGGGAGTAATTTATAAGTTTACCCTGATTTACATTACATGTTTTTTCACTATAGATGGGGATTACTACGCCTCACGACCAGCACGGGCCGTCTCGGCAGCCGTGCCCGTCGTACGGTCGTCGTACAAGCTAGCACTGTACACGTGGTTAGGCCCCTAACTAACGAATCTCCCGGCACATGCACGGCGAGGTTGGCACCCTCGTGCGTACGTACGTGTCGCGTGATTAGCTTATCTCTCTAATCTTGCTGGCTCAGCCTAGCTACCTAGCTAATTAATTATCCATCTTCCGTGCTGTCGATCACTCTAGCTACGTGTTCGTCAATAGCAAACCATCGTTAAATTAATTAGCTCTTGCTGGTTAAATTATGTGTGTATGTTTATTTGGGTTACGGAGTAGTTAATTAATAACTTGGATCGATGCGATCACATAAATACTGGAATTAATTGACTTGACCCTTAACGTTCTCAACTGGAGTATACTCCATAGTTGTAAACAATCAATACCAAACACAAAAAAATGCAAGCCATGGTTTTGATCTCTCACCCACATGCCTAGCTATTGGGCTGACGAATTCTGCTCGAGTTCACGGCAAAATCAGACGGATTCGTGTAAAATTTTGATGAGATTTGCCTTTTCTATAATAATAATAATAATAATAATAATAATAATAATAATAATAATAATAATAATAATAATAATAATAATAATAATAATAATAATAATAATAATAAATGGATGAAATTTGTATGTTTGCGCGAAGAGATCGATCAAGATGGGAGGGGCAATGCAAGAAGCTTCGACTGGCTTTGGCTTATTGGGCAGCACGCACATGCGCACCACGTGAGCCAAAAAGGTTACTGACGCCAAGTGCAGCACACACGCCGGCGAACTGATCGAAGCGAGTCGAGAAAAAAGAACATGAAAAAGATGGCCGGAAAGATGCGCTACGTTAATTTTGTCTCATCATAGTAGAATTTACTGCTCCAACATTGCCGCTCGCTAGATGATTCTCTTACCAAAAATATCGAGTGGGTATTTGTTTCGTCAGCTTAACAGAATTTATTGTGCTTCTGTCCGGAAATATAAGAGATTTTATTCTGTAATATATATACTCCCTCCGTCTCATAATATAAGATTTTCTACCATTACCCATATACATATAAATGTTAATGAATCTAAACACATACATATGTCTAGATTCATTAACATCTAAATGAATGTAGGCAATGCTGTAAAGTATTACACTGTGAAACGGAGGAAGTAGATATTTTTTTATATTTTAGAATAGAGGTAGTATTTATTTTGTAGCTAAAAAAAGGCATTGTTAATTTTGTTTAGCTCAGTGGAATACCTAATTATACCTGGTAGCAAGCCAAATAATACTATAGCAAATTTTTTGCCAAAAACTTTAGCTATGACCCATTTTTTTTGCAATTGCCAAAATTTTGCAGGGTAACAAGTGGCATCAAACCAAACAAGTTTTAAAATTTTATGAACTGGTTGAGGCATGTAACTCGATATCATGATGGCATTTTTTTCTTATTTTTTGGATAATCTTTTTCTTTATTTTTTTCTTATTGCTTCAAGATTTGCAGTTTCTGTATTAATTAGGCCCCGAATATAATACATAAAATACGACATAAAAAAAATTTAACCTTGGTGCTGTATTTCTCATCGTATAAATATAGATCGTCTAGCTTGGTATTAATTATAATTGCGTATGTACTGTGAGGCATCCTTGTCAGCTAAGCCTAATTGAGAGGGTAGAGCACATGCAAATTGCAAACTAAACACCAAGTTGATGGGCCAATGGTAGTACTAGAGAATGACGTCACGTGGCAGCTCTAGTGACGTGAGCATGGGTAAGGGTAGTAACGAGAGGAAGAAGATGCCTACCTCTTTCTTCATGGCCGACGTCTTCCTCCCCGACATCGCCGACACCGGGCCGGAGGCAGCGAGCGTGACGGCGGCGCCGGCGCCGGCGCCGCCCTGGTCCCTGGCGACGCACAGCTGCATGATCCTCTCGGCGGCCTCGGCGGCGTCCTTGCTGTCCTTCATCAGGCGCGCCACCTCCGACTTGGGCAGCCGCATCCGCAGCCGCACCGCGCCGTCCACGCCCACCTCCACGGACGACGGCCTCCGCGCCGGCTCGCCGCCGCCGCCGGCCACCGCCCTCGCCGCCGGCACCACCGACGCCATGTCCGACACGGTGCGCCGCGACAGCATCAGGCTCTCCAGCCGCTCCCTCGCGCCCACGTGGAGCGCCCCCGACCACGTCTTGCGCGGCGCCCGCGGGTCGTCGTCGCCGCCATAGCCGGCGGCGCCGCGGGGGAGCTGGACGAGGAAGTAGAGCTTGCCGGGCTTGAGCGGCGCGTCGCGGTCGAGCGGCCTGGCGCGCACGCCGAGGCGACGGACCTCCTCCGACTCGAGCAGCTGGTGCCCGGCCGGGTGCCCGCGCAGCGCCGCGCCCGCCGTCGCCGGCGCCCTGTACCGGAACGTGGCGCCGTCCACCGTCATCACCTTCGCCACGCGCCGCTTGCCGGTGAGAGCGTTGCCCATGGCGCGACGTCGCGCGCGCGCCGCGGCGAGAGGCTGGGTTGGGTTGGGTTGACGTGGGTCGAACACAAGGCGCGCGCGGAGGTAGCAAGAGTGAGCGGGAGAGAGAGAAGATCGAGGAGGCGAGTTATATAGCTGTAAATTTGGTGGGTGTGTGTGTTTGCGCTTATAGCCTTTTTGAGTCAAAATGTACCCACCATTTTAATTTGCTTTGTGATTTGTCACTAACTCACTAGAAAAAAGGAAGATAAAGGTATATATATACTACTTTTGTTTAATTACTTTGTAGGTGTTCCCATGAGCTAATTGGAAACACTAAACCAAAAAAAAAAATTGTATCCCTTTTGTCTTCCTCTTTACACAACTTTAGTTGAAATGCTATTATGCGTGTGTTTTTGTTCTTAATTCATAGATCACACTAACTTTTCCCTTTTTAATCATGGCAATGTCCTTTTCCTCTTTGTAAATGACCAACACAAGACCGTTAAGTGTGCCCCCCCGCCCTATCGTCGAACACGAACGGTGTGTAAATAGAGTACTGAGTAAGCTTGGTTGGTATGTTGTGAAGGAATTTGCACAATAGATGCGATCCTAACGTGTGTTTCTCAAATTGATATCTTTTTCAACGGTGGAAATAATTTATATCTGACTTCTACTAAAGCTAGGGTTCGAAATTCCGGAATGAAATTTCCGAAGTTTCAGTTTATTTCGGCGAAAAATTTTATTTTATTTTATGAATTTGGTAATATTCTGTTCACATTTGACCAACATTTGTTCAAAATTTTAGAAATTTCGGTTTACCAGTGACCTCCGATAGAATCTGCCAAACCAACAAATTGAACCCTGACTAAAGCTCCTTAATTTCTTTTAAGAATACGCAATAGCTTTACGTATCTTTGTATTATATACGGAGCTCATTTAGTCATATTATTGATATTTCGAGGTAGCTTTTTAAATCAAAAGTTAACCTGGTGATCGGTTATTTCAGTTTACCCAATCGAAAAAAAGCATACATGAAGTTCAAAGCTCACTGATTTATATGAATTTTAGCTCCTATTCGAATGTGTCATATCAAACCAAAAATACGTCGATTGAGGACTTAGGTTTGAACGGTAACCTAAGTATTCAAGTTGCCAAATACTAATAAATTCAAAATTTTAGTTAGCTGGCGTAATCCCTCAAACCCTCGTGTTTGGTCAAATCGAAGAAAAGTCTTCCGCGATATCCGAGCTGGACCTTAATTGAACCTAATATTTTTATCTCAAACAGTGGCTAAAATAAACCAAATATCAAGCATATTAAACTAGCCAGTGTTACAGCTTCCATAATTTTAACGCAGAAATGGCCAATCACAAACATCTCCGTGAGTTAATCACAACAATTAATCAATTAACTATGCTGTATCCGAGCTTGATCGTAGGCTCCTAGCTTGGATTGCGTAAGTTTATGATCTGAATTTTGACGAACACAATCGAAAAAGAAAGAAAGAAAAACAACGGGTCATCAGATCGTTCAAAGAGAAATTCTCCACAAAACGCCGGGTTTCCGGAGCATCGTGGCGTGCGGGTAATTAATTAGCCGTTGCTTAATTCCCTGTTAGTATGTCTGAATATGTCATGTTGCCTCTGATTTTCGTTGGACGAACTGATCCGGGTTATCAGGGAACACAACTAGAAGTTCTTGACTAGTGCCAATAGGGATGAGCTCGTTTGAAGAGCTTGCTGTCCGGCCGGACTCTAGAAAAATAAATTAGAAGTCAGAAGCTAGAAAATTTATTTTTTATGTTATTACTGAATGATTGTCCACAATCTATTACCTGCTTCTTAGAATCTCCAACTCTCAAATACAACCATCTCATCGGACTGTCTTGTCAGAGATATTGATATGGTATATAGAATAATCTACACCCTGGCAGTGTGAAAATGCATGCCAAGTTCTTGGAATTACTCAGTTAGGAAGAATTAACACCGTGTAATTAGGAAACTTTCAAGTATAGATCGACTGCGTTGATTTTCCTTGTCATGGTCAGCTTAGCGTTCATTTTTCTCTCAGGAGTTTTAATATATGACGCCGTTGACTTTTTAATCAATGTTTGACTACTCGTCTTATTCAAAATTTTTATGCAAATATAAAAATACTTATGTCATGCTTAAAGAATATTTGATGATAAATCAAATCACAATAAAATAAATTATAATTACATAAATTTTTTGAATAAGATAAAAGGTCAAACGTTTGTCAAAAAGTTAACGGCGTCATACATTAAAATACGGAGGAATAATTAATTATATAATCGCTGGTGTTACTATGTTGTAACGCGGTTGCCATGATCGAAAAATCGAGTCTGGTCTACGAGACATGCTCTACTAGATGATGACCATGTCAAGGCTTACTTGTGCGTACTGTTAGGTGTTCGTATGTGTAAATGAGCCCAAGAGTCATAGATCCTAAACCCTCTCCATGACTCAATCTACAATCACCTAACCTTTTTTTTCCAAGCATCTAGGCCTAATCTAGTAGTAGTATAACTTTACCTAATAATTCCATCTCAAAGAAGTGAAATAAAATAAAATAAAAAGTTTGCCTAAATTGTTGGGTGAAACCGAGTCCAATCAGCATATATGTACATGTTTTGTATGTTGAGAGAGCACAAGAGAGCTTATGAATTTTGTTCCGCATATTTAGTGCAATCAACTTGTATTTTTAATTCATAATTGTATCCATGAACTGAAAATACAAGTAAACTGAACTAAGTATGCGGAACAAAATTATGAACTAAATATCCGCATATTTAATTGTATTTTCGGTTTACTGGTCAATTATTTTCCAGTGAATGAGTCTCAAGGATGGGTATGATAATTGACCAACTGAAACCTTCCTGGAAAATAAGTGTTTTATTATTCTGTAAATCATGAAAATCATGTACCAAAGGTGATCGAAAATCAACCGGTCGATACGAAATTTAAATGATGTTCATGATGCCCTGACCCAATTCATGTTTCTTTTCATTTCAATTTGCTTTCGTCAGGGTCCCAAGTTTCACCCTTTTCAAGAGCTTTTTCTTTGTCCTCTTTAGCCTTTTTGAGAGCTAAGTGCACGATCTTCCATAATGATTCACCAAATGACGATCAAGATTGGGCAACCGACCACTATAACTGCCATCCATCGATCGTCCTATGATGATGATGATACGATCTGCAGTAACCAAAAAAAAAAATCAATTCAGAGCTAGATTAATTCAGTGCTTGTTGCATGGTCAACCATAAAGCAGAGATATGATAAATAAAAAAAAGAAGATAAGATAACGCAAAGCCGGATTTGAAGCACATTGCCTGATTTCAGGGGATTTTGCCGGCACAATGCACTCAACAGATGTCAAAAATTTCAACTTGAATACGTATTTGGCAGGCTCGACGAGTCGATGTCGATGGTAGTTTACGTGAATTTGAGGTAACAATCTTAATTATGGTGATGGATATGTCGTACTCGTACATGAACGTGATTATAGAAAAGTAATACAATATTAGGGACAGTAAAACCGTTGACTGCTACTTGTTGGTTGGACTTTTGGAACTGAAGAGATTTGTCAAGATTTTTCATCATCTGTCCCATCCGTTAATGTAAATTGTGAAGAAATGTTGGGACAAATCCAATGCTCTTTTCAAAATGTCGCAGAAACAGAAGAAATGAAGAAATGGAAGCATATCTAGATGATCCACGTCGGCAACTCGGCATAGTACTATTTTTCTGCACAAAGATTTTGCAATTTCTGTTTCCAGAGGAAATTTAATTAATCCAGTCCTTACATATATATTTCTCTGTTGTTATCTGTCTCGTCAGGCTGTCACGAGATCGTTATTTTCTTTTGCTTGATGCAGACATAAGCATGCGCCAAATTTGCTTGCTGTTCAACTCCCTTTGAACAGAGGTAATAACCGTTGTCACCATCTTCTCTAGAGAGAGAAATATTGTCACAACTCCACACATGCATGTTATTTTCAGAGTTGTCCAAATTAATATCAATATGATAAACTCTCTATCTCTAGGAGAGATTATCATCACCCATGTATACTTCACAATTTATTGCTTAATTAATATAAATAAATTCGTGAGTTTTTAAAGGAAAAAAAGAGTCGTCATGCTGAATATAAGAAAAATCAGTGTCACCTTGATACACATGTTCACAAACCCATAAATATGCCCCTAATACACGCTTGAAAATATGAAAGTCATCGGTAAATATACATGACCTCATTGAAATTCTATCAAAAATGTACATGCGGATATATAATATTTGTAGTCACCAGAATTTAGATCCTAGTAAAACCATCATATATATCATCGATGCTTCCCTAAAATTGTTTTTGTATAATCGGAATCATTTTCATATCAATAGGAATATGGAACGTTTAATTTCTATTGGTAGGCACGATAATTTCGACAGTACCAATTAACCATTCGATCCAAATTTTTCCTATACAAATTCATGTTGAATTCGAGCATTCAGACGACAAGACCCCCTCCCGACAATTGAAACGATCCATCATATCATTCACAAGTGAGAAGATATGCTACTAAAATGAACCACACGTCCTGCTCACACAGTGCCAATCAGACACGTACGGGTGTCCGGTAGCAGCATACATTAGCATATATATACTCTCTTTTTTTCTATTGCTTCCAAAACCCAAATAATTCACGCTTAGATGGACGCTTAGCCTGATGACAAGGCAGACAGGAGCCCAGGAGTCACGGGAGAGACAACCCGTGATCCCCATCCACGTCCACGAACGATCACCACAATCTCTCGTACTCTCATCTCTGATAGTACCGGTGTTCACCAAACTGTTTCAAAAAAAAAAATTGGTGTTTTTTTTCAATTTTCGCGAAAGCCATTGACTGCTGATAAAACCCGGTCAAATTTTATCAAAAATATGAAAAGCAGTTTTAATTTTTTGTACTCGATGGAAAAACTGTTTGTTTGTGCTATCGAACCAGTTCAAGAAGTATGGTTTTCACGAAAACCTGCCTTTTTTTACTCACATACTTCCTCCGTCTTATAATATAGCAATATAGTATCGGATATGATATTTCATAGCACAATGAATTTAGACATCCTCCTGTCTGGA